GATTGGGTCAAGGTACAAGAGGTAACAACCCCCCCCCCCCCCCCTTACTCTTGCTCTTACCCCTAGTCCTAGCATTACCACTAGGCAATTATAACAAAAAAAGATCTCCACTTTTTGAAAGGATCAAATAAATTAAAAAGAGGTACTAAATCCCTATTAATTAATATACACATACATGAGTATATAAAAATATGAATAACGATGTATACCTTGCAAACGGAACATAAGAAATCCCGATGGAAAAGGAATGGAGACGGATGGAGAAGAAGAAGTTTCAAGGTATTACAAGAAGACTCTTACCTAGTAAAAAATGTTTAACAAAATTCTATTTTGATGATCGAGAATATCACCTGATAAAATAAGTGAAGATGCATGATGAATCTTACCAGTAAACGCTTATTCTTTATTGGTTAATCATTAAACCATAAACAAACAAACAAATATATATATATATATATATATATATTACATGTGTGTGTATGTGTGTATGTGTGTATATGTATGGGAAGTAAAGGAAGTGATCCTACTTTTTTTACGGTCTAGATCGGATTTAACTGGTCAATAATTGTGACTATGTAAAAAATAGAGGAGGTAGTTTCAAAATCTTTACAAATAAACGTCAAACAAGTTCATATGTAAACCCGTGTAATTCACGTATGAACTATATATCCATATGTGAACCCGTGTAATTCATGTACGAATTAATTAAGTGATTCACATATGAACATATGTGATTCACATGTGAACTAATTAAGTGATTCACATATGAACCTGTTTGCAGCTTATTTATAGAAGTTACAAGACTGCTTCTCCATCTTTCGTATACCTACACGGTAAATTATCCGGTGCTTAACGATAAAAGCCGTAAATATTAATCAAATGAGGGAATATGATCACTTCTTTACTTCTAAAATATTTAACATTTCTCAAATGAACTCAATAACTATAGACAATTTAAACAAAAAGAACCAAATAGCCCCTTGATTTCATTTTATGACGACTTATCCCCTCAAGTAAAACTTAGTTACCTGTTTTATTTGTGAACATGGAAGGGAATAATAACCAGGGTTTTTGATATAAAATTTTGGGACTTTCTTTTAGTAGCATTCTTTCCTTCCTCCGACGAGATCTGATCTCTCTCGTTTTCTCGATCCATCACCACCACCAGATCTCGTCAAACTTCTCTGCAGCGACCGCCCGAAGGTAAACTCCGATAATCCCCATCTTTTGTACGGTTACTCAAGCCCTAGCTTATTTACACTTCAGGTGACACTCTCATTCTCATCCAAAAATGCCTAAGTATATTGAGATTTGTTGGAAATGGCATTTCTTTGTGATCAGGGTGGTTTGAGCTCGATTTTGTCAAAATTAACTTGACTGTTTTGTTGCCGTTTCGTAATTTTGTTTATACATTTGTGAATCTGTTGCTCGAATCTTCTAGAGAAATGATGTATCCTTAATTTATTAGTTCAGTTTGACAACCTTGTTATACAGCTTTGCAATCGCTAATCGTTGCTTGTTCTTCGTTGTAAAATCATCCTCGTTCTGAATTTGTTGTATTACAAGACTTCCTGATGGAACAGCATGGCAGATCTAATATATGTTCAATTGAATTTTTGATTTCGTTATGTACTCGGTCTGAACCCAACCGCTGTATGTCCCTCGATCTGAAGATGACTTGGGTGGGGTTGGTATCATTGGGCCACGCTTGTAATTTTGTAATATTACCCATGGATAATCTAAATATTATGTTGCAATGGCTTTTTGAAAGACCTGGGAAATGGATGCCCACCATTGACGTGCTTCATGGGCAAATTAATTGAGGTATTTGAACTTAGGATCTCTAGGTTATTCCTAGGAAATTCCAATCAGTTAGACTAGACAACAGGGGTATAATCCTGTAAAGAGAGCTCCGACCCTATGCGATATGATTGATAAATTTTAGATCCCATTCAATATGTCCTAATGATATGTTTTGGGTCACATGTAGCACTGATTATGGTCTTGAATATGCTGTTATCTGTTAATAGATCTGTCTCTAAATTTCGAATTTCTGATATAAGATTACATTAGGTTTGAAAAGGTGGAAAACAGGTCAAGAGTTTTATGAGAATTTCTTTTAGAATTTTTCTAATAAAGTTGTTTCTGCACCAGAGATAAAAAGTATAGTGGTTATTTTATTATCCAAGTTACAAATATTCCAAAATGTGATGATTTTACATGTTACCAAAAAGTTGCCTGGCTTTAGAAGCATAAAAAGTTATCCTAGAGATTTTTAATTTAAAATACAAGACACAACTACTAACCAACTTGTTAACTTTTAAAAAACTGGGAAGATGTCTGGAAGAAGGCTTTGGAATTTGTTGTGTTTTTGAAGAGATCTCTCTAATTCTCTAGGTGGACCATGATTCATTTGGTTAAATACATTATGTACTCAAATTGTCAAGGTGGGCCAAGTATCATTAGGTTAAATAAATTGTGTACTCAATAGATAAAAGAAGGAAAAGAAACGTCAACTTTAGTTCTAACTATTAATAGTTTGGTCATTTGTTTCAGAAGGCATGGAGAAAACGTGTTCTCTACTAATTCACTTTGACAAAGGAACACCTGCACTTGCCAATGAGATCAAGGAGGCTCTTGAAGGAAATGATGATGCTGCAAAGATTGATGCCATGAAAAAAGCAGTTATGCTTTTGCTGAATGGGGAAACACTGCCACAACTGTTTATCACAATTGTCCGATATGTTCTTCCTTCGGAGGATCACACTGTTCAGAAACTACTGCTTCTTTATCTAGAAATCATCGACAAAACAGACTCAAAAGGAAAGATCTTGCCTGAAATGATTTTAATCTGCCAAAATTTGAGAAACAATCTCCAGCACCCCAATGAGTACATTCGTGGTGTGACTTTGAGGTTTCTTTGTCGTCTCAATGAGACGGAGATAATTGAGCCCTTGATCCCGTCTATACTGGCTAATTTGGAGCATCGACATCCATTTATAAGGAGGAATGCAATACTTGCTGTGATGGCCATTTACAAGCTTCCCCAAGGGGAGCAGCTTCTAGTTGATGCTCCGGAGATGATAGAGAAGGTCCTCTCAACAGAAGCGGATCAATCGGCAAAGAGAAATGCATTTCTTATGCTTTTTACATGTGCACAGGATCGAGCAGTTAATTACCTTTTGACCCATGTGGATAGAGTGTCTGAATGGGGAGAACTGCTGCAGATGGTTGTGTTGGAGCTGATCCGTAAAGTATGCAGAGCAAACAAAGGGGAGAAAGGGAAGTACATTAAAATCATTATATCCTTATTGAACGTGCCTTCTGCTGCGGTTATTTATGAATGTGCTGGCACACTTGTGGCATTGTCATCTGCTCCTACTGCTATTAGGGCAGCAGCCAATACCTATTGCCAACTCCTCCTCTCTCAGAGTGACAACAATGTGAAGCTCATTGTTCTGGATCGTTTGAATGAACTCAAATCTGCTCACAGGGAAATCATGGTTGATATGATAATGGATGTGCTCAGGGCACTCTCAAGCCCTAATCATGATATTCGGAGGAAAACACTTGATATTGTTCTTGATTTGATCACTCCTCGAAACATCAATGAAGTTGTTCTTACTTTGAAAAAGGAAGTGGTAAAAACTCAAAGTGGCGAATTGGAAAAAGATGGGGAGTACCGCCAAATGCTTATCCAAGCGATCCATTCCTGTGCTATCAAGTTCCCTGAAGTAGCAAGCACGGTCGTACATCTGTTGATGGATTTCTTAGGTGACAGTAATGTTGCTTCAGCAATGGATGTAGCTGTTTTTGTGAGAGAAATAATCGAAACGAATCCTAAGTTGAGGGTTTCAATCATAACAAGGCTATTGGACACCTTTTACCAGATACGATCTGCACGAGTTTGTTCCTGTGCTCTTTGGATCATTAGCGAGTACTGCCTTTCTCTCTCAGAAGTTGAGAGTGGAATTGCAGCTATAAAGCAGTGCCTTGGGGACCTGCCATTTTACTTGGCTTCAGAAGAGGGGGACACCAATGATTCTTCAAAGAAGTCTCAGCAAGTGAACTCAATAACTGTTTCATCTAAGAGGCCGGCTATTCTTGCTGATGGCACTTATGCAACTCAGAGTGCAGCTTCTGAAACTGCTTTCTCCCCTCCTACGGTGGTCCAGGGAACTTTGACTTCGGGAAATTTGAGATCCCTTCTTCTAACAGGTGATTTCTTCCTTGGGGCAGTTGTAGCCTGCACATTGACAAAGCTTGTCTTGCGTTTGGCAGAGGTTCAACCATCAAAAAGTGAAGTTAATAAAGCATCAACTCAAGTGTTGCTAATTATTGTGTCAATGCTACAACTTGGGCAATCTTCATTTCTTCCACACCCGATTGACAATGACTCTTACGATAGAATTGTCCTTTGCATAAGGTTGCTATGTAATCCAGGTGAAGAGATCAAAAAAATATGGCTGCAGTCTTGCCGTGAAAGTTTTGTCCAAATGCTTGCGGATAAGCAGATGCGGGAAACAGAGGAACTGAAAGCCAAGGCCCAGGTCTCACATGCACAACCTGATGATCTCATTGACTTCTATCATCTGAAGAGCAGGAAGGTAATATTAGCTTTGTCATTCACTGTTTGTCTGTTCTGTGGTGGTTGCTTTTTTTAAGATATGAACACATGCTAGCAATTATCATTCATGAAGTCACAGTTTTTTTCTCTTCATATTCTATTAATTTTCAACGTCATTAATTCATTCTATTTAATCACAAACATATATCATTTGTATGTATGCATGCAGAAGTCCCTTCAGTTGCGTGGTTATGATACTCACTCATCAATAGCTTGGTATAGAAGTAACCATGATTATGGAAGTCATGTATGAGTTTTCAAGTTTGTTGTTGAACTTATGCTCGAGTCTTATTCTGTTAAGGAAGTTCCATGTTCCACTGATTCAGAAAAATGCATGTTAACACACCTGCTTCAATTTGTAAGAGCGAAGGGCATTGTGTATGAAATGATTGTGCTCTTTATTGTGTGATTATTAAGTGCATTCGGTACTTTCCTGGGATAATACCCCATATGAAACATGACAGATGAGGAGCTCCATATAGATTCTATCATCTTAGATAATGTTTTTAAGCTTTTCTCTATTGACTGGATTGGGGTATAAGACATCAGGACGTGTTTGGTTTAAAGATTGAAAATAGTGAATTTAGTCTGTTGTCTGTACCCTTATGAATAGGATCCATGTTTCACTATGTGATGGTTCGGGTGGTTGGAGCTTCTGGAGGATCTTTTGAGTGAACTTTTACATTTATATGAAAGGATTACTGATGTAGAAAATCTTTGCGAGTAATGATGGACTTTCAAAAAGCCTGTGGCAACAGTTAAGACGCCTTTTTGGTTGGAAGGCAGATAATCTGTGTTGTCTATAACATATTCTTTTAGTATTTTATAAATGTTTGTGTCTGTTGATAGTGTGTTATTTCTGTCGCATGGAAATTGCAACAACACCTTTTGATATGTGCTTATAGAAGCTTCTTGGTCTTTCTGAAATAAAAAGTTTCCTTTTAACCTATTTCTTTTCAATGACCATGTTTCAAACTTAAAATATGTATCTGCAAAGAATTTTCCAAAACTCATTAGTATCAAGTCCTATTGGAGTTTGCATGAAATTGGTAGAATCAACATGCTACAGACACTTTTAATTAAATATTTTATCGGATACACAAATATGAATAGTTGCTCTGTTGTTACTACTTCCATTTCTGTTTAAGTTTCCATGAGATGTCCTTTTATTTTGAAATGATGAAGTTTCTTTGAATTCATCTTGCTATTTAGCATCATCACTTGAATATCCTGTGTCACAGAACTGCTTAAGAGTGTAGATGCTTGAAGTTCAGTTTTAAACTCAGTGGCTTTGGTTCCCTAACAGAATGGAACTGTTAGAAGTTAACTGGATTAAGGACTTCATGATCAATTCAGTGATTGTTTCTGTATGTAAGCTTCTTTTTCATAAGATAGCCAATATACCAAAGATGATGAGCTAGAGGCTTTATAACTTACTGTGCTAACCTGGAGCAGTTGCTGAATAACTTGATTTTTATTATAAAACTAGATCTCTAAGTTAGGTGTCTAAAACTTTTTGTGTAGGCTAGCAACTAACACACATGTTTTCCTTTAGATTAACTTTCTTTTATAGTTTCAATAGCCATGTTTAGCTATTTGATACTATTCAACCAACTGGTCTGAACTTGACTCAGAGTTCTAGCAGTGAGTTGATTGCTGACCATATTGCTTCTCTCTCCAGAACAGGAAGGGTGAAATATGCAAGATTAAAATTGTTATAATGACAATGAGAACCGTACAGGAAATTCCCCTTTGCATATTAGAGAAAGGCAAAACTACTGATGTCAGAGGAAATTATGCTTGGTCTCTTCAGCTATGTAGCAGCAGGCATGAGTTTATTCGAGTGTCCTATAAATGGCTGAATTGTATTTGTAGCAACATTAGTTTTGGTGAAAGTACATGCCATAGTTGCTAAAGACGCTAGGAGCACCCATATACAATGCCCAATGGAGGCTTGGTTCAATCTTCATCTGTAGAGCACACCTGAGTGAAGCGATAGGTTAGTGGCTTAGTTAATTAGAAATTTGACAATAATAGTGGTGACCCAAAAATGCTTTTCCAATATAATGTCAATATTCACAAGAAGCTGCAGTGTAAACCAACCCCTTTATTAAAACTAGAAAATGGTGAAGAAAGAGGAAAATCAAATGTCTTTACCAGATTTATGAATTGTGGTCAAGTATAAGTTAATAATTATATTGTAAAATCTGATTGAATAAAAACCTCAAGCATTATATATGTAGGTCAATTTTTGATGACTTTGAGCTTGGTGGGGCTCCCATATTTCAGAAATATAGTCATTTAAAATTTGACGATAATAGATTACTCTTGGAGGCAAAAGATGATTTACTGTTCTAGAAGTATTTTTTTTTCTTTTCATATGAGATGGGCAGCTTTTTATTTATTGAAACTGAACAAACTGTACGAAACCAAACAAACCGAGACAAAATGAATCTGTTATTCTAGAATTTTTATCACTTTTATAGTCATTGTTCTATTTTGCAATTTCATATTTTTCCTACATCTTCCAGATGATCCCCAACTTTTTTTTTATCTCTATCCGAAGTCTCTGGCAATGGCATCCTAACATTTCCCACTGAGGCATGAAAATATACATTTTCTTTATGCAACACCTCAAATCATTCTTCATTTGCATGTCCTGACATTTATCCATTAACTTCACCATCCCTGTGTTCTGTAAAAACTATCATTGTCGTCTTGTTGAACTGAATCTTGAAATTCTCCTTCCTCATGATTTCTATTTCTTGGATTTCTTGTATCATCATTACAAACTTCCTGCCTAGGGCCTACATTTTTGCTGGTTTGTCCAATCTTTTGCATCTTTTGGTGAAGGGAAGCCCAATTATTAGCAGCAAAAAGATTGTTTGATCTTCCTAATTTGCTATGTTCAGATCCTTTCCTCTTGTTTCTTTGTGTTTGATTCCATTGACCACTTCTGCTCTGCTGGCGATGTCGTTATTCCACTGGGTTATTTTCCTCTTTCCTGACTATCCGCCTCCAGTTTTATCCTAACCGTATCACCATATTGCATTGTTTTTTTGGAGTGTTCTCTGGGACCTTAACCATATACCTTTTTCTTTGACTATAATTTCCCCTGTTACTTGAATTCTGTTAAACTAGTGGTTCCCATAAGAACATAGTCATCCTCATGTGTACTACACATCACCATCTTTCTGAAACTTCCCCATACCATATTACCGCCCAACTTGATGATACCTTGCCTTCAGCACTTGCTTCTAAACCATTCACTGTTAATACCAAACCCATTGACCATCACCATGGATCCTTGCATCTCCTTTTTTAAACCCTGCATTTTCTTGACCTACTTTTTCATTTTTATCCTTTGTCTTTTAATCATCATTCAGGCTCATTATCGCTTCTTTTGCTTGTTCCACTGTTTCATATCCTAAAATAGCAAATCTTCATCTAAAAATTCCTCAAAATCATTTCCATAATCTCTGGGATTCTTGCAATGAACACTGTATGAACTGTTCACTTTCTAGTTTCTACCTCCAAGAAGCTTTTCCTCTTTACGTAATGGTTTGCATCCAGATAAGAAACATTGAGACCAGCTTTTTTTAGGCTTTTTTCTTTCTCTTGAATCCTGAAACAACATCCAGGTAAGATGGTTGTCCTGCATCCCTCCAGGTATGAGTATATTGAGTAGAACGCCTTATGTTGGTATCTAATTGTGGCTTGTATATCAGTCGGTGACCTGGAACTCCGGGACAGGGAGGTCGGTGTTGCAGGCTAACTCATAAAATAAGTATGGAGGACTCTATTATAAGTACTTTAGATTGATTTCAACTGGAGGTTTATATTTATATGTGATGAATTACTGTATATGCCATAAGTTTCTCCTTTTCACTTGGATTTTCCCTCCACTTATTTTGGTAAATAGATTCTTACATGCAAAGCAATCTGCAAGTTGGGCTTCAGCTGGCATGCCTGTCTTGTTCTGTGTCTTATGCCACAGCCACCAATATACATGCTATATTGAAGTCACCCCTGGCCTCTAGGCAGCGCCAACACCTAGGCATGTCTTAGCTTTGTGCCTAGGCTTGCACCTAGTGCACCTACTATGTTGCAGTTGCTATCTTAACAGTGATTCATGTCCACATGGAGTAACATGTTGGTGTGCTGCTTGGATTCCAGTTGAATTTTCTTACTGAAAAAGTGTTAAAAGTGATCGTCTTTCTTGCTGGGATGACCTCTCTTACATTTAAAAGGCACTGTCAAGTCCCTCATTTTGCTTAACAACTGCAGCTACATTATCTGTTGTGTACTGGTGTTAATGATGAATCTGACGAATAAAATTTCCTATTCTTACTTGTTACTGGACGACTCACCAATTCCTTAAAAAAAAAAAAGATTTCAACAATGAAGACCTATTCTGAGATACAAGTTTGTGTTATAACTTTATATATAAATTACAAGGGTCGGGTTCCGGTGAGAACTATGCTGTTATATCGGTCAGAATACGAAATATCGGTCAGGACCGATATTCGATATATCGGTTATATCGGTGATATATCGGTGATATATCGGAAATATCGGTTAACATAATATTTCTTAGAATTATATATATATATATAATATAATTCTATATATTATATATATATAGAATTAAGTTTAGACCTAATTTACTAAGTTTAGAGAGACCGAGAGAAGAAGTCTGAACTAAGTTTAGATTTAGATTTAGACCTAATTTACTAAGTTTAGAGAGACCGAGAGAAGAAGTCTGAACTAAGTTTAGATTTAGATTTAGACCTAATTTACTAAGCAGCCCAAAAAATAAGGCCCATGGAATAAAAAAAAGCCCAAATTTTAACCCTTGTAAAAATCGGAATATCGGACCGATTTTTCACTAAAATATCGCTCAAAATATCGCCAAATATCGCCAAATATCGCCAAATATCGCCGATAATATCGTTGGCGATATTTTGGCCGATTTTTCATGACCGATTTTTTTTTTTCGAGCGATATCCGATATATCGCCGATATATCGGCGATATATCGCGATTTTGACAGCATAGGGTGAGAATGGAAGTTTAGTGAGAAGGGTAAGAAGGGATCTCCACCCTTGGATCAATCCTAATTGAAGATCAACCCTGATGAGATGCACCAGGTCAATTCCCTTGAGAAGAGCAATTCATAGGGTGGGGGTGAGATTACAAGTGATCAAGGGTCCAGATCCCTTCTTATGCTTCTCACCTTAACTCCTATTCTCACATGATCCTTGTCTAAATTACAATTGGGTTAAATTATTTCGTATGAAATCATCATATCTTCGCTCTATTACTAATGAGGGACCTAGTTGATGCGTTTGAAATGAGAAGCTGTTATGAACTGCTGAAACCCGTTATTTTAGGTCTTGTTCAGGCTTCTTGATATTATTCACTTTGTTATGTGAATATGCACGTGGGGCCTATATTGCAAATTCAAGTACAGATTTGATAGCATCAGCATATACCATTTAAAAAAAAATAGTAAACAGATTCAAGTTATTAGATTTCAAAGTTCCTTCTTTTTTAACTATTAAGTGATAATACTTCTTTTGTGAATATGGTTAATGTATATTTGACACATTTTAATCAGTCTTAGGTGTAGCTGAAGTATATATCATCTGTTTTATAATCGATGTTGTCAACTTTCCAGGGCATGAGCCAGCTGGAGTTGGAGGATCAGGTCCAAGATGATCTAAAACGTGCCACTGGAGAATTTATTAAGGAAGGAGATGCTGCCAATAAACTGAATCGTATTCTTCAACTCACTGGATTTAGTGACCCAGTTTATGCTGAAGCATATGTTACTGTTAATCACTATGATATTGTGCTTGATGTAACGGTTATCAACCGAACCAAGGAAACTCTCCAGAATCTTTGCTTGGAATTGGCAACAATGGGCGACCTTAAACTTGTAGAGCGTCCTCAGAACTATACCCTTGCTCCTGAATCAAGCAAGCAGATAAAAGCAAACATTAAGGTGTCATCAACCGAGACTGGAGTCATATTTGGAAACATCGTTTATGAAACCTCAAATGTGCTAGAACGTACTGTTATCGTTCTCAATGACATTCATATTGACATTATGGATTACATCTCTCCAGCAGTCTGTAGTGATGCAGCCTTTAGAACCATGTGGGCTGAGTTTGAATGGGAAAACAAGGTATCACTTCTCTTTAATTTCTAATTTTTTCAATTGTTTTTATTTTCTGGCTTGTGGGTCAAATTATTCATGTTTAGTTCATTGTGCATATGATTGGGTGTTTAAAGTGCAAGTACCATTTTAACTCTTTATTAATTTCTGAAAAAAGCACAATTTTTTTCTTCCATTGTATAATTTTCTTTTGAAATAAAATACATATAACCTAATAGCGAGAATTTGAAATCGGTGATGGACGGTCACCAATATGGACCATCAAGAATCACTTTGGCAAAGCTTGGTAATTGAGATTCATGGTCACGTTTAATTTGGGTTGTGATCAAATTATATTTTGTATATTTTGCAAGTTATTAACATAAAAATTATCACCTCATAGATGGTTTTTTCATGGTAGAGTGATATGACTTTCTGTGATTCATCTGGTTCAGTAAAATCTCGACAGTTGATTGAATTTCCTGTTTGCAATTTTTGTGACATTTGACGTGATACATCTTTTTGTGAGAACTAATTTTTTTGATATTTTTGTGAACACGAAAAATTCAATTATGCTATTCATGTAAAAAGATGGCATGAGCATTTTTATTTATCAAGCTCACTGTATTAATGTGTTAATATTGTCATCTTTTTAATTCTAAAGTTAATGGTATCTTTTGTCCCTAGATAGATGTTCTGATTACTTATTTAATGTACCAAATATCAGGTTGCTGTGAACACCGTAATTCAAGATGAGAAAGAATTTCTCGATCATATTATCAAATCCACCAACATGAAGTGCCTAACTGCACCGTAAGTAATTTATGGTTACCAACCAGTAATAGTGTTTTCTTTGTATAATTTCAAAAGAAAAGGTGTTTGTAGTGATGTTGTGTTGAATATTTAGGTCGGCATTGGAAGGCGATTGTGGGTTTTTGGCAGCCAACTTATATGCAAAGAGTGTGTTTGGAGAAGATGCTTTGGTGAATTTGAGCATCGAGAAGCAAGGAGATGGTAAGCTAAGCGGATATATTCGTATCAGGAGCAAAACACAGGGGATTGCTCTAAGTTTGGGGGACAAAATCACTCTTAAGCAGAAGGGAGGAGGTGCTGCCTGATCTTCATCCATTCAATTCAATTGGATTGGTAAAGCTACAACATCTAAATTGTCGAAACTTGTATTTTCATCTCAGTTTATCTTATATGCATTTCTCTTTCACACACTTTTTCACAAGTTGGGGGTGTTTACGGAAACAACCGCGTAACTTCTTGAGGTAGAGGCCAGGGATACATAGGGCTCTTACCCCTCCCCGACCCAAAAAAAATCTCCTGTTACCCGTTTCCTATTCCTTCCATGTCCCTCCAATAAAACGTCGACATGTCATCTTTTCTCTCGCCCCCTCTACCATTTACTTTATATGGGCACCTCCCTACAGTTATGTATTAGCCCCTAGCTTTACACATGTTGAAATTTGATTGGAGGAATAGGGAAAGGGGTAACAAGTGATTTATGCATATAATACATTGGGGTGGTTCCCCAATTTTATCCTTTTTCATGTTGATTGTGGTTGTACAGGTGTGGAGATTGATGGAGAATATAGAGAAGAATAAGAGAGGGAGTATTTTTGGATTTGGAGTTTGTTTAGATGATGAGGTTGATGGCTACTTCTTGTGGTTGGGATTATATAATAGATGGATGGACAGAATGTGTGTAAGTTGTAGGGTTACACAAATTTTAATATGGTATTTGGTATATTTTGTTGATGTAAGAAGCTTGTATTCTTTTACTTCTCATATAATTAGTTGTTTCTTCACTCTCGTCCCACCTTATTGGTGTTTCTTATCAAACCTCATAATTGGTGCCATTATATATATACATATATAGACTTGGCATCATGTGAGACCAAGGGTTTTTCGTGAGTCCCGTAAGACCAATTTTCAACCCTTGGATTTATATCTACGATATGAACATTCATAATCACAAAATTATCACGAGACTTCTCAATAATCACAAAATTGCCATCATACAACTTTAGACTATTAGATAATTAGCTTATAAAGTTGATCAATAAACATAAATTGGTCTTACGGGTCTCACGAAAAACCCTTACCCTATATATATGTGTGTATGTATGTGTATATATATATGTATGTATATATGGGTTAAATCAAATTAGAATAAAAAAAAGTTATAGGCCCATGAGAATTTGCTAAAAATTACTTTTTTTGTATGATTTTTTTCATCAAATGTCAGAATTTAAGATATTGGTTTTACATATGTGTTTCATAGTGTGAAAATTTTATATGCATTTGTTTTATGTTGTGAAACTTTTTTTTTTCTTCATGAATTCTCTGTTTCACCAAGTGAACCAAAAAAAAAAAAAAAATTCACATTGATTTTTTCATCATATGAACACATATATGTGAAATAATAGTTAAAATCATAGTCTTTGATGAATGTAGAAAATATTTTTATATCGGTTCTTATAGGTTTGTAATATTTTTGTTGTTCTCATTTGAATATATATATATATATATATATATATATATACACACACACAAAAAAAAGATCTATATATAAAGAAGTAGGTTCATACGAGAATGATGCGGGAGTATGGTCAAAGTAAAAAAATCAAATCATGCGATTTTATAGTGAAATCACACGTGATTACAAAACATGTTACGCAAGGGGTGAGTGAGCGACTTGGCCTCCGGCCTCGGTCGTCGTGAAAATCGCGTGGGTCATATGTGATTTTACACATGATTCTAGTGTAAAATCACATGTGATTTTACCTCTTTCGTGTTCTCTTATCGTTTTTGTTTTTGCTTGTGAAGAGAGCGGATAATCACTAGGAACAAATAAAATTGGATGAAACAACTATGGTACTTTTGTATAGATATGAAATATAGAAAGATCTTAGTGTTAATTACGTAACAAATTGTTTACAATATTTTCATTTAAAATGAGTCAGATATCAAAGTATTGACGAGCTCGACAATGAAGACGACTATCGGACAAGCTAGACGATGAAGACAATGATCGGACGAGCTCATCGGTGAAGACAACCAAGAAACGAGCTTGACGAGGAGAAGATCACAAAGCATGGATGAGCTGGACGATAAAGACAACTGTTGGACGAGCCGGATGATGGAGGAGAAAAGAGATCTCTCTAGGCAAATCTCTCGAAGCATGGACGAGATCGAGGATAAAGACGACGACTATCGCATAAGATCGACAATGAAGACGATATATTGTGGATTGATGGTGAATTGGTTTGTGATCCACTTCGAGGTGGGACCATCGACTTCGATTGTGGTTGCAGAGTTAGCATATCAAGACCGTTATTGATGTCATCTTCCACCGATAATCCATCGAGGCCGTTATTTGAGTCATCTTTCATCGAGACCGTCATTGAAGTCTCAATAAACTACTCGATTCCAAAAAATAAAAAAAACTAGAATATGCGGGGTTGAATTTACAGCAGATTCATGGTAAATAATGTCTATTCATGATATATATTATAGTAATAATGTATTTTCATGATGAATTTTATCACTCATGCATGAATATTTTGAAAGTCATTGTATACACGTGAAGATACATGGATATTAGTGATAAATACTATAGTAAAAATGTATATTTCATAAATATTAATGATAAACTTAAACTAAATATTTCAATAATTTAATTTATAAACATTTTTACAAAATTTTCCTATACATAAATAAATACATATATATTAGTATCAATTTTGAGTGAAAGATTTATATAGTTAAGGTTCAAAATGACGTGAGGTTGGCATAGCAAGGAGGTTAAGCTTAAGCCTTACAAGTTACAACGATGCCATAACGTTTTTCAAGGCGTGCCGTAAGGTGGCATATATACATATACACAAACTTGTGTGTTAGTGTTTTTGAATAATATGATAGGACAAATTAAATTATACAGAATAATAAAATTAAAGAAGAAAGAAGAACCATTGATACCAAATATATAAAACTTATACAGAAGATATCAATAATGCAAAAAATCGAGATTAAATCTCTAGAATCTCTACTCACTACTTTCTTTAATTTTTCAAAAATTCGTGTTTGACTCGTCGTGTATGAGAATAAGAGTAAGCATTAACTTACTTATTTACGGTTTTTAGTTTTTAAATTTCCTTTTTATGTTTATTTAAGTTTTAGATCTCGTACACAATGATCATTTATCTCTCAAGTTATTTTATTAAAAATAACCCCACACCTTACAAAAGAACGCGTGATAATGCGTTACAATGGAAGCGAACTCTTAAAATGGAGCCATAAGGGTTAACGTGTTGGCGAACCTAAGCCTTGACGCCGTAACGCGCCATAACGAGTCCATAACAAGTTATTTAGAACTATGGATATAATTGATGGAAGTTCAAAAAAACCCGATTTGTACAAATTAATAAATTATGTTTTATTCAGTTTGAGAGATCCTTATCAACTGGCGGATCCACAGTGAAGATTGTTGCAACAACAATGGTTATGAAGGTAGAAACAGTGGTTGCTAGTGGACGATAGTGACGGTAGAGGACATGAAGATGGTGCATAATGGTGGTGGTAGTGGCGGCGGTCGACAATCGTGGCAGAGGTAGTTGTAGCCGATATGGTGGAGGTAGTGGTGGTGGTGGATAATGGTGGTGATAGTCCATTGGGGGTGTTGGTGGTTATGGTAGCAGACGATATTAGTGGTGGTGGTCGGTGATTGATGGTAGCTGTGGAGGTAAAGGAAATGGTGGTTAGTGGACGACATTGGTTAACGAGGACGTGAAGATGGTGGGCAGTGGTGGTGGTAGTGGTGGCCAACAGTGATGGAGGTAGTTATTGCCGATGTAGTGGAGGTAGTGGGCAKTGGTAGTCGATGGTGGTGGTGGTTATGGTGGAAGTAGAGGTGGACAACGATGGTGGTGGTCGGTGGCCGACAATTGTCATGGAGGTGGTGGAGGAGTTGTAGTGGAGGTAGTGGGCAWTGGTAGTCGATGGTGGTGGTGGTTATGGTGGAAGTAGAGGTGGACAACGATGGTGGTGGTCGGTGGCCGACAATTGTCATGGAGGTGGTGGAGGAGTTGTAGTGGAGGGGGAGGTAGAGGTGGTTGTTGGCCGACAATTCTTGTGTGTTACCTCCCATCTAGGTGTAGTCTAGGCTTTTCAGTGGTTTCTCGTCCAAGTTATCACACATTTACAGAGAGGCCTTCGTTTCATGAAAAATGAACCCCGAAAAATTCCAAAAATAATTTTCCTTTGCACTCAATTTGAGACTAAACACTAGCCTTTCTTTTGTACACCCATAAACCAAAACAAAAGGAAAAAATGCACGTTAAGGTTGAATTCTTCAAAATGATAGATGGAATTGGCATCTAGTATAGAAATAAACACAAGCATAGCTTGTGGGTAGTTTGTTGAGCCCCCAAAACAAGCATAGCTTGTGGGTTCATGAACCCTTAAGAAAAAGAAAAATATATATACAAAAAAAAAGAGAAAAGAAGAAAAATAGAGGCAATGTTTAGCTTTTACTGTACATGAAAAATAAGCCTTTTATCCATCAAAAACATTAGGAAAAGAACCCTTATCGTGCATACAAAATAAAAGAAGCCATAAATCAATATCCCAAACACCAATAAACAAGCCTAATCCTACCTTATACCCTAACCTTACCCCAAAGCCCTCATTACATGTATTGTCGTGGTAAATTTTTGGAATTGAGAATGAATTTAATCGTGTCAAGGATACATTCTCTTTGTTCTGGTTGGGACAGGTTTGAGCATATCCACGCCCTTATACAGTCTTCAGAGCATAGAGTGATACCATGAGCATCCATCCATATAGATCATTATCCCTTCCCTTAGTGACTATGGTATGTTTGCGAAATCTTTTTTGGTTGCGATTTTTTTTGTGATATGCTTGATTGGTGTGTGTTAGTTCGACGCTTTGGTATCATATGTTCCTACTTACTTTGTTTTAATCCAACTCATGGCATTTACTTGTATATGTAGTCTTAATGCTTGATTATGCTTTGTGAGATTGTGGGATAACTCGTTTTGACATAATCAGAGGTTTTTATTTGTTTTTACTTCTTTCTTGGGGATAAGAAAGTTTATCTTGTGGGTGGTTTGTTAAGTGCATTTTGTGCACCTAACTTTGTGTATTTTAGTTGTCTTTTATGTTTTTTAGTCCTTCGTTTAGCCCTTTCGTGCCTTTTTGTTGCTTTTTTCTGTTTCTTTCTATAATCACGGTTGGAAGTTCTTTCGAGGATAGTTTTTATGCTTTTGGTATGTATTTTGTGCAAATTGTGCACAATTTTGAAGATGAGAACAGTGAAGGCATGCTTAAGGCGATACAAGAAAAGAAGCATCAAGGGAATATGGAAGGTGTAGCCGAAAACGAAGAAAATAAGAAGATAATCGAGAGAGAGAGGAGGAGAAACCATGGAAGGACCTAGTTGCTGCCCATGCTTCACGGACGTGAAAGTCTACTTTGTGGGCACGAAGAAAACACCTTAATTCATGTCGAAAGTTTCTGCTATGGTTTCACGGGCGTGAAACACTGCTCCTGAAACAAACCTTATTTTTCTGTTGCACTTTCACTGGCATGAAATTATTCACGGCCATGAAAGTCGTCTGGACTTAATTTATTTTGGGCTTTTCCTGTGGGCTTTTGGCTTGCATATTTAAACCTTTTAGGTTTTCTTAGAGGAGGCCGGTTTATTTTTCTTAGAATACGATCTTCGCGCTCTCTAAACTCTTTCGTCGACTTTTACATTTCTTAGGGAAGAAAATAATTGAATTTGAAGCT